GTATGTATATATATATATATATATATATATATATATATATATATGTATATATATATATAAGATACAGGAAACGTATCCCATATTTTTAATTTACAAAAAACAATATTTTCTTGTACAACTATAGACTATATATTGCCCAGTATATTATACTGTAATTCATCTTTTTCACTTGAATTTACAATTTTACAGTAGATACAGTTATAATGTATGCTATTGTAAAATAGGTATGATACTATTTCACATAATTTTGTGATTAAAAAACACTCCACCGTACCGTATTTAAACTACGTTTAAGTGAACTCGTGGACTTTTATTAGCAAACCATCTTTGCGTTTTGTTTTGTGAGTTTCCCCACATAATTACATTTAGTGCAACTTCCTCTAAATCAAAGTACGCTGTCATTTCCCAGAGGCCACCAAACCCCACTTACCACTAAAGGAATTGAGCAGATGAGAACGACAATGGACGTGGCTATGAGAACGATGACCATCTGGATCTCCGCGCCGGCCAGACGCGCGAAACTCCGCCTGCGCCTGATCTCCGCGACTCGGCCCTGGTCCGTCCCCAGCGAGGTCCTGCGGACGAAGCGCTTGTGCATCATGATGAGAGCCGCGCACACCAGCACGTTACAGAGGACCGTAGCGAGGATGAGGATGGAGCTGAAGCCCGCGTACATGTAAGAGAAAGTGGCGTTCGTGCTGTCGTTGCTATGCCAGTCAATGAAACACCAGGTTCTTGGATGCTGTTGCACCACGGATCCCAGTCCCATGCTGGGAAGAGCGCAGAAGAGTGCATTGGATACATAGATCACCGCGAGCGTCAAGCCTGCCACCCGCTGGTCCACGTAGTGGTTGTAGAAATACGCGTGATTGATGGCGAGGTACCTCTCTACGGACATGGCACAGATAATACTGAGACCTGCCAAGGAGAAGAAGAGTAAAATGAAGCCGGAATACTGACACAGCGGTCTCCCGCCGGGCCAATCTCCCTTTACATAGGTGGCAATGGTGACTGGGCTCGCGAGGAGAGTTCCCAAGAGGTCAGTTACGGCAAGTCCACACACCAGGGTGTAAAAAGTGGTCTCTTTTTGCTCTTTTCGCGACTTTCGAAGCACTACGATAGCAATCACGTTCCCGACCACACCAAATATGAACATAATGACCGGGATGGTGGGGTCATAACCTTTATTGCCGCCACTCGTGCTCGTTTCGTTCATCTTTACCGAGTTTTTTTCCCACATGCAGGTTGATGTCCAAATCAAATCACGCGTTCAAGACGCATTGCATGAGATCCTTGACTTCCTCAATCGATGTCAAGATCCCACGATGATACCTTCCACATTTACGTTTCATGCGCTGTTACGCGTCTCCAAAATCTCCAAAGCGCGTCTCGGATTAGGATACATTTTGACTCGCCGGAGTCGGGTACGCATGCGGTCTTTCACAAGTCCTAAAGTTCAGTCCTGTGTTTTTGTTTGTGAGAGGTGTGTAGTCCACGGTTGCCCTCAGTCTCACTAAACTGACTCACAAGTTTTTCCTTGAGAGCTTTCTGCTAACTCCGCCCCTAGCGCGCAGTCTTACACCCTCCTGTCACTGCAAGTTGACACACATACATGTCTCTGCATTAAATATCTCCGAGGCTAATATTTATCTACATAATTCGCACTCGTTGCTCTTTATTCTTTTCATTTAAGGAAAATATCATTTTTGTGTCCCTCCTGAATGTGTAAACGATGCATTTAACAATTTTCTGCTTTAATGTCCTACTTTTTATTGAACAAAATTAACGCTAGCTTTTTATCCTCTCTCTTTTTTGTTTTTTTTTGGTAAAGGAAGTGCTACCACCACAATACATGTGTTGAAACATGAATAGCACATTTTGCTAAGAGCCTAAAAAGGACAAGTGTTTTGCTAAAAAAAAAATGCAGTAACATAAATGAAAATTATACTTTATTTCAAAATATAAATGGTTTTGTAAACATAATCATATTTTTCAGTCCTCAGCATGATTTAGTCAACTGAAATTTTCTGTCTGTTATTATCATAATGTTGTGATGATGACCATAGCTCCAAAGCCCCCGCATGCCATCCACCTCACATGACCATAAATCCATTCTTCAGGAAGAAATAAAACAGCACATGGTAAGTGCACAAAACAATATGCTTCTGTTATTAAATCCTCAAGATTTACATGCTGGCTTCATGCTGAGTTCTGGCCCCTGGGGTTAAGTAGTGCTATATAATTTATGCATGACATGTTCATAACGAGTGGGAGCTGAAAGAAATATAGTGCTATCCATTTTATCTGGTACTTAAACCTTTAATCATTGACGATGAGATTTACACACTTGTTCAAAAAGTTATATTAACAAATCAAGTGTGATTGGAAGGAGTTAGTAAATTACATTTGGATCTCCTTTTCACCCATTAAAAATATTTTTTAATGATATAGATTAAATGTATTTGTCAGTATTAGTTTCTTTAAGCACTTGCACTTTCTCACACTTCTGTTTTTGCCTATGACCTGGATAGTTCGACAAGGTTTTCTGAAGAAAATGACTCACTCGGTGCACAGCCTTTGAAATGTCATTGTAGTTGTTCCTGGATTTGTTTGTTTCCGTCTTGTGGTGTACCTTGTGCATACTGACGTCTGACATCTGCTCAAGCTATGCCGTACGCAGTGTTATTCATAGCCATGCATGCACCAGCTACACACATCATCAATGCATGTATGAGATCTGAAAATAGTGTGGTTTTCTGTGAGGTTTATATTTGTGGAAAAATGCATTTCTGATGTTACTGCTATGTCGCTACAAAGGAAGTGTGCGGCCGTTAGGTATACACACATTAGGTACACAAAGCAAAGTTCACGGGAATGTCACGTACCAGTTAGCTTGTTGAAATGCACAAGAAATTAGTGATTGCAAGCCCAGATCAAAAAATCCTAATCTAAAGGGTTAAAGATTACACATTCAGTCTTAAAATAGAGCAGAAGTTGACACAGAGTAACACGCACCAGATAACGTTCTAAGAGCATCTCTTTTCAGTTCTGATAGTGATTTACGATGCAAGTATACTTTTTAAAAACTGCACTTGCAATATGAACATATAACACTGCATTGAAGTTGCAATTACGAGAAAGAAAGTTGCAATGTAACAGCATTTAAATTGCAATCATGAGAAATTAAGAAATTAATGCAAGATAAATTTACAATTACGAGAAATTAAGTCACAACTGACATATAAATTCAAATTTATGAGAAATAAAGTCATGATTACAAGAAATAGTCATAATTGTGAGATATGTAGTCACATTTGTGGGATAAAGTCTAATTTTAGATAAATAAACTTGCAGTTGTAAAAAAAAAAAAACACATTTGTGAGATATAAAGATGCAATACCTAGTAATAAAGTTTTCCAGGACACATTTTTAAGATTTAAACACACAATTATGAGAAAACAGGTTGCAAGTACACCCTTTTTTAAAAACTCATAGGTTGAAATGGATTTCCTTAGATACCAATGGCAAAACAGATCAAGTGGGGATGACATCAAATGGTCCACAAGCATCACTCTTATAGAATGTCTGTGCACGTATTGAATCCAACACTCGGAGTGCAGCAGTATTTTAAAAACATTGATTCTGTATTTAATTATTGTCTGAGACGATCGATGACCCTCCATCACACATCATGTATTTAACTTTCTGAGCGTAAATTCCCGCTCAGTCCACTGGTACGACTGATGTTTAATCTGCTGTTAATGAAACATAAAACCTCCTAAGCTACAGCTTTTTTGTTGATTGAGCTGTCTGTGTTTGGAAGGGTGGTGCAGCTGACTAAGTGGCTGTAGTACATTTTCAATGCTTCTCTGATCAAAGTCAATAAGCAGTAATGAAAAGTCATTCAATGAAAGCGGAGTGCATGATGGGTATTTACTTTATTCTAAGCTCCGCTTAGAACGTATTTTATTACCTTCCCAGAGAATGAGCAGACACGAGTCAGTGTCTAAATTTATATATTAAAGTTATCTCCAGTTTGATAGCCTCTATTAGCAAATTTTGAATATTTTCTTAGTGGTGATGGTCTGTTTTTTTCCCCCAAACACATGATGTTGTTTGTCTAAACAGTTCTTAAACAGCTATCCCATCAGCACTCAATTAGGATTTCCACAAAAGCTTTTAGTGGTCATCTTGGCGCCCCGGTCCTCAGCTTTTGTCTCCCTTAAAATTCATGTATGTCATCATGTTTGACTTAATGACCTTGTCACATTAAAGGATTTCCTTCATGTACACACAGTACTTCAAAAGGTCTTCATTTAAGGGTTATATAAGCATCATTCTGGGGTTTCTCAATCCTGCGCTCAGTACATTTTGCATGTCTCTCTTGGAGTAGAGCTCCTAAACTGGGTGTGTCAGATTGTTGAGACATCTAAAATGAGACAGTGTTGGATCTCCCCCTACTTGGAAACTACAGAAAAATAAAGGGGTCACTGTAGGAGTGACCTTTGACCAGAGCATGTGAGCGGAGAGCGGAGCGGGGAACGGAGTGGTAATATTTCCTTAAGAGCGCAGAGCGCCTTTCTGAAGATTACGCTCCGCTCGCTCAATACGCTCAGCGCCACTCGCTCAACCCAGAATGCCGTTTGGTGATTTGCTTGTTCGAGATCGAGAATCTGTAGAGATCGAGAATAGTAGAGCAGTTATGGAGTTCAGATATTGTTTCAACGAAGTTGCAAGCTTTATACATAAATGTAAAGTAAAAATCAAAGTTAAGAATGAGCAGGGAGAAGAAACTGAGAGGGAGTGCGGGGAGACTGTTAAAGTTAGTACAGATTCATATTGATTACAGAGAGCACGAAGATGTGCTACGCAAACATGGTGCAGCAAAAGGTGAGCTAGTTACATACCGTAATAAATGAATAAACAGGTAGGCTAAGGTTATATTCGGTTGTACGGAGCCCCGATGATGACATGCAGACAAAATCACGGCCACGAATTTAGAATAGGCTAGTTCTCTTTTATGCTAGGACTACATTATGGCCACGAATTAAGAATTAATTTTTTCGTTTAGTCTAAATTATGGCCACGAATTAAGTATTCGTTCTCTTGTTTAGACTTAGCTGGCACGAATTCATTCGTTCGTTAATTCGTTCATTCCCTAGTTTTAGTAGGCCTAAATCGTGGAACGAATTATTATATTTCGTAATTACTTATTAAAATCATTATTGCTTAAAATTAATGAATAATAATAAATTAATAAAAAAATTAATAAAACCTGCTGACGTCGTAGAAACGAATTGTTAATTCAAATTATATTCGGAGCTCTGTAGTTATTAAATAATCTCAGTTAAACTGTAGACCTAAGCTAACACACAGCTGTATATAGGCCTAAATACAGAACTACAGAGTACAGAAGATATTAGCCTACACCACTTAGGCCTATTCAAATATTATTTAAAAAAAAAAACTGACCCGAACCAATAGGTAGTCCTACAGAATGTAGGCTAGATATAGGCAGCAGTAATTTATAATCTAATATAATGCACTCAAATTTGTTCTTTACAGAACGGAGCGGGATCTGAGCGGGAATTGGTTAACGGCGAGCGTGAGCGGAATATTGACGGAGCGCTTGCTTGGGCGGTTAGAGCGACTGAGTGGAGCGCACGTCCATAGAGCGGAAAATGTAGCGGAGCGTCACACCGCTCCGCTTCGCTCACATGCTCTGCCTTTGACAGAGAAAAAATCTCTTTCTGCTAGCATTAGTTGAACATGTTTCATGATATTTATAGATGTACACATACTTGAGCTCAGTCTTTATGGTAATATAACCCACCTTATTTTTAAGGTAGGAGTAGGTGCCGCCATTTGTAAATTTAATGTGCGAGGTGTCATTCACTTGTGTCAAAAACAGTCTGCTATGCCGCTTGATATTGTAAACTGATATTTGGTATCATAAAATTTTAATTAATTATTGTAATCATAAACAGTTTTGTGAGGGGACTAAAGGGAACTAAAGAGGAAGGAAGCAACTGGGGAAACGAGCAAGTGTTGATGTGTCTGTTGTGTGTGTGTGTGTGTTGTGGATTTCAGTCTATTTGTGAATGTTGGAACGGCTTTGTTTAGTGAAATTTTAGAGCAGTGTTTTTTATGCTGCTTGCCTGGATTATGCGTATGACTTTATTGAAATTTTGGGTCAATACAATAAATGGCAATTAAATATAAGTATTTGAAAATGTACTGTGAATCATCTTGCGTAACTATGATGCAACTAAAAAACAGAATGGCCTTAGATGTAAAGATAAAATATAAAAGCACTATGAGCCACATTGCTGGAACAGTTTAGATCACGTCCTGTTTTGCTCTCACCCTGTGTGAGACCTGATGTGACCACTTCCTCCACAACTTACAGTCTATATTCATGTATTTGAAAAAGTGAGCTTGGTAAACATTGTTTTAGATATGCAATACAGGGTAAAAGAAGAACTGAGAACCCGTTAACTGACAAACACACACATGCACACAGAAAGAGAGAGAGTGTTCTGTGTCTGATCCTTTGAAAACTAGAATGTGCATGTAGAAGAACAACACC